TTTCTATTTTTTGGAACAGTTTCAGAAGAATAGGTATTAATTCTTCTTTAAATGTTTGGTAGAATTCCCCTGGGAAGCCATCTGGCCCTGGGCTCTTTGCTGGGAGATTTTTTATTATTGCTTCCATTTCCTTACTGGTTATGGGTCTGTTCAGGTTTTCTATTTCTTCCTGGTTCAGTTTTGGTAGTTTATACTTCTCTAGAAATGCATCCATTTCTTCCAGATTGCTGGCATATTCCTACACATTTTCATTTCTCATTACTTAAGAACACAAATTCTTTTAATCAATCCTATTCACTGGTTATTATACTAACAAAAACATAAAACAAACATTTGATTATAAATATATCCATTGTCATTTACTGTAACAGGTACTTAGTTCTTATGTAAAACACAAAGTTCTCAAGTCCTCTTAAACAGATCAAAAGACACATTATAAAGTAAAAGAAAAATGATAATTTTATAGATAAACAAAAAAACAAGAATATACACAGAATAAGACAGTAGTTTTCAAATTATCAATATGCAAACAAAATACCTATAGCACACTAAGGAGATTCTGTAAGACTTTTAGACAAGGGAATACAATATAATGAGGGGAAACATAACATAACTTTTAAAACATGACCATTACTTACTTTACTTCAGGAAATTTGCTTTCAAAGTAACAAAAGATGTTCTAATAGGTTTAAATAAACCTATTAGGTTCTAATTTATTTAAATAAAATAACTATTTTTTAAAATTTCATTTGTTCTAAAAATGCTTAGTGTAACCAGTTAATTTCTATGTTTACCTGAAGGAATGCATCTTTTCGACTTGTAGGGATGCTCATGAAAAGTATCACATAACTTTCTGAAATTCTGTCAAACAAGGAATCTTGATTTTCTCTGTCAGGCTTAAAAAATAAAACATGTAGGAGATTAAAAACATAAATATTACAATTTAAAATTGGAATTTGTATACATAATGTCAGTAATTTTATTTATTCTTAAAAGGCAGATCAGTTGCTGCAGTGAGAATGAGCATGGGTACCATGCAGAGCTGAATTTGAATACTGGCTTTGTCATTCATTAGTTGCCTTACCCTGGGCTAGTTAATCAGTCTTAGTTTCCTCATCTGCCAAATGTATGTAAAATATACATATGTAGTAAAATAAGGACAAGAATCATGTTTAGTTTGGCTTTGTAATTCAAGCACTTAGCACAGTGCCTGGCACAGAGAAAGCATGCAAACATTTGATGAGTTAATTGAAGGTTCCTGCATTAAAGCTGGCATGCAGAGGCAATCAATGATTATTACTTTCTCTTGTCCTATATCTACTCCAACTCTATCATTATCCAGTAACTCAGTATGAAATTAAAGCACTTACTAGGATGAGACAAGCACAGCCAGAACTAGTAAAATTGTGACATGATGGCTAAACTAAGACACAGTAAATATGTTGTAAGAAGAAAGAAATGTATAGATAATAATAATGTCAATATTATAGTAAAGTCCTGATAGGATGAGCTTGGGAAAATGACGTAGTAGGGAGTTCCTGAGCTCACCCCATCCACATTTACAACGAGATACCATCCATATCCAAGTTAGTAAACCAGAGCTCAATCTGAAGACTGGCAGAACGAACTCTGCAACTAAATTTAGAGACGAAATTGCCTCTGAAACATTAGGAAGGTCAGAAAGGTGGAGAGAGACTGCCCTCAGGAGGGAGGGAGCTGCTTGCCTGAAGAGGGCAGAGAAATGGGCCCTCACAACAGGCAGCTCACACAGGGAAAACTAATCTCCATAACATTTGGCCTTAAAAACTGAAAGGGCTGAATTCCTCCTGTTTGTATAACCAGTGCTTTAAAAGTCACCTGCCTCAGCACTGGGTGAGCCAGGAGGTCAAGTGATAGCTGAGTCATCACCCTTAAAGGGACAGCAGCCTGTGCAAAGAGGCAACATAAAAATGACAGTTTACACAAGGCTGGGGGCAAATGGGAAACAAATCTGTTCATACTGACTTCAGATGTGTTGGTGGACTTCTCCAAAAATGAGAGAGCTGGCAGGCGCCTTTTCCTTCCTCACTTCCCAGCATAAATGCAAAACCACCTGCGGGAGGCAAGGCGATAAAGACAGGCTCAGGGCAAATTTTGTTGAAGCTGCGTATGTGCCTTGTCCAGCAGCACAGCTGCTGCTGTGTGCCACACCCAGCCACCACGCCATGCCTAGCTGCATGCCCCTAGCCACCATCACATGCTGGGCCCAGCCTTATGCTCCCGGCGGCCCTGGCACACAGTTCCCAGGTAAAGCAGCACGTTGGGGGATCCAGCATAGGCCTAGTGGCCCAATGCAAATCTTGCTAACACTGTTGCCCCACTTCCAAGTTCCCCTGCAGGCAAGTCCCCTCAGAACTGGCCTGCCTGAGTCCCACCTACACCACAGAGAGGAAGCACAGCCCACAACAGGCAGAGTCAGTACAGACGACTGCACAGAAAGGAAACGTGACTCAAACACAACAGCAGGTTATAAGCAAAACACATAGGATACTCTCCTTAAGTGCCAGGTTCTGGTGAACAGGGGACACTGCACTGTAGGGCACTCTAGGGTCTCCCCTTCATAAAGTCACTACTTTCAAGAGCAGAAGACATAGCTGACTCTCTTAACACAGAGAGGTAGACAAAATGAGAAGACAGAGAAATTTATCCCAAATGAAAGAACAGGACAAGGCCATAACCAGAGATCTAAGCAAAACAGATATAAGTAACACACCTGATGAAGCATTTAAAATAATGATCATAAGGATACTCACTGGAATTGAGAAAAGAGTGGAAGATATGAGTGAGAGCCTTAACACAGAGATAAGGAATAACATAGTGGAGATAATGGGCTCAGTAAATGAAATGAGAAAGACACTTGATGGAATGAATAACAGGATGTCAGAAGCAGAAGAATGAATTAATGAGAGAGAAGACAGAGTAATGGAAAGTAATCAAGCTTAACAAAAGAGAGAAAAAAGTTATGCAAAATAGAAAAGACTTGGGAACTCAATGACTCCATCAAATGCAATAATATTCATATTATAGGAGTCCCAAAAAAAGAGAAAAAAGGGGCAGAAAATTTATTTGAAGAAACAACAGTTGAAAACTTCCCTAATCTGGGGAAGGAAACAGATGTCCAGATCCAGGAGACACTAAGACTCCTATCAAAATCAATAAAAGCAGACCCACACCAGACATATTATAATTAATTTTGCAAAATATAGTGATAAAGAAAAAAAAATCTTAAAAGCAGGAAGACAAAAGAAGTCAGTAACTTACAAGGGAAAACCCATAGCGTTAGCAGGAAATTTTACAACAGAAACTTTTTAAGCCAGAAGAAGGGAGTGGCATGATATATTCAAAGTGCTGAAGGGGAACAATCTGCAGCCAGGAATACCCTATTCAACAAGACTATCATTCAGAGTATAAGGAGAGATAAAGAGTTTTCCAGACAAACCAAAACTAAAGGCGTTTGTGACCACTAAATCAGCCCTGCAAGAAATATTAAAGGGGACTCCTTTGAGTGGAAAGGAGAGACCAAAAGTGACAGTATAACACAAAACAGGGAACACAAAAGTAATAAAAATGAATATTTCTATAAAAAATAGTCAAGGATATAAAATATACAATATACCTAAAATGTGGGTAGAGGGGAGAAATAGGTTCAAATTTTAACAACCATCAATTTAATATGGACTGACATATGCAGAAGAGGTTATATGCAAACCTAATGGTAACAATATGCCAAAACAACTAATAAATATACCAAAAACATCGGGAAAAAATCCAAATATATCACTAAAAAAATCACCAAAACATGAGAGAAAGACAAGAAAGGATCAGAGAAAATCTTCAAAGACAACCACAAAACAAGTAATGAAATGGCAACAAATGCATATCTATCAATAGTTACTCTAAATTTAAATGGACTAAATGCTCCAATCAAAATACATAGGGTGACAGAATGGATAAAAAAAATAAGACCCACCTATATGCTGTCTACAAGAGACACATTTTAGACTTAAAGTATCTGCGGATTCAAAGTGAAGGGATGGAGAAACAGCTATTATGCAAAGGACGTGGATGTCAAAAGAAAGCCAGAGTAGCAAGACTTAAATATAGGACAAAACAGACTTTAAAACAAAGGTTGTTACAAGAGGCAAAGAAGGACACAATACAATAATAAAGGGGACAATCCAACAAGAAGATATAACAATTGTAAATATTTATGCAACCAACATAGGAGCATCCAAATACATAAAATAGTTAATAACAAACATAAAGGAACTAATCAGTAATATAATAGTAGTAGAAGACTTTAACACCCCACTTATATCAATGGACAGATCATATAGACAGAAAATCACTAAGGAAAAAATAGTTTTGAATGACGTACTGGACTAGATAGGTTTAACAGATATAGTCAGAACATCCCATCCTAAAACAGCAGAATACAGATTCTTTTCAAGTGCACATGGAACATTCTCCAGAATAGATAACATATTAGGCCCAGAAAACCAGCCTCAACAAATTTAAGAAGATCAAAGTCATACCATGCATCTTTTCTGATCACAATGCTATGAGAATAGAAGTCAGCCACAGGAAAAAATCTAGAAAGACCACAAATAAATTGAGGTTAAATAGAATGCTACTAAACAATGAATGGATCAACCAGGAAATAAAATAAGAAATAAAAAAGTACAAGGAAACAAATGAAAATGAAAACACAGCGGTCCAAAAACCTTGGGATGCAACAAAAGTGTTTCTAAGAAGGAAGTTTATAGCAATACAGTCCTATCTCAAGAAAGAAGAAAAATCTCAAATAAACAACCAAACCTTACATCTAAAGGAGCTAGAAAAAGAACAACAAATAAAATCTAAAACCAGCAGAAGGAAGGAAATATAAAGATTAGAGCAGAAATAAATGATACAGAAACTAAAAAAAAAAAAAAAAAAAAAAA